CCCTGTCCTATTTGAACCTTAATATGGTGAACCTTTGGTTGTAGGCCGTCTATCTGTACACCCACAGATTTTCAGTTAAACATTAGGCTACACGTGAAATTAACAAGCCCATCTATAAACCGTATATGGCCTCATGAGGCCTAAAGGTAGATAAAGATGACTTTTACAGGAAAGCATCCCCCAAAACAGCTCATCCCACCATATCCCGCTCATGAAGCTACAAACGGTGCTAAACTGAAACACTGGAGGATATTACACACAAGATGGTCCGTTTCACAGATGGTTACACAAGTGCAACGATGCTGAACATCGTTTGTTGGCCTGCAGCAGGATGCATGTAGACGTGCTGTGTAGGATGAACATCGACTGATGACATGCGTGAACACAACAGCAGCAGCAGACAATCGTGTTATTGGTGCTTCAGCTTCTTTCTGTGTCTTTGCCGTTTGGGGGTGATTGTTGACCAGGTAGCAACATCCAGATGTGGCTAAAATCCGGCAGAAGCCGCATGGGGACTCCAGCTATTTTTAGCCACACAAACAGCTGAGGACAGGCACTATAGACGTCACATGCAAATAATTTTCACATCCTAGCACAGATTTGATCTGGATCTAACCTTGTGTGTTTTAATTGAGCTGACTCTTTCACAGAAAATGTGTGGGCCTGGTCAGTAAGAATGTTCAGGTATATCAATTTAAGGTTATTCATCAAGTCTGCATTAATCACCAGAAGTCATTTGTAAAGGCTAATGGGTTTGTTCATTATTGATAAATTGACTTTTGTGAGGGCATCACCACGTGGGCTGAACTCTGGGTGTCAGTCACAGTTTTTTTTAAGGATCTTTATTAATGGGTTATGAAATCCGCAAAGCCTTTAGTAATCTTAAAGTAAGCAAGTTTTGAAACACATTTTTAAAAATGTGTAAATGTCAAAAGCTCCCTCAGGCTTTGAAGCTCATCTGTGCAAATATTCATGTGCACATTTTGATCATCGTTGATATGCAGCCACCCAGAAGTCTAGGCTTGGTGTCTGTGTGTGTTTTTCTGGGTATTACGTCGCTTTGATGTTCAGTTTTAATAGTAGAGTGTGCGTAGTATTTTTTTTTCCGGCCCTCGGTTTTGATTTTATGTATTAATTTTGGGTTACACACCACACATGCATGTATTCATTAAAACCTGACATCCTTTAAAGATGGGCCAAAAAACACCTTTCATGTTTGAGCAAACGTGTTCATGCTTACATCATCTTTGTTCTCATAAAGAATGTAAGACTGGTTTTCTGCAGGGTTTCTGCACACAACAACAGAACTAGACTTTTTTTTTAGATTTTTAAAATGTTTCAAGCATTAATTTTTCAGCTTTCTGAGCTATTTCGTTTCATCTATGTTGTTTTTTTTAATAGAAATTTCCAAATTGTTAGGGTTAACAAAACATATTTCAATTGCATTTTATGCTTTATTAATCAGTTTTACATTTGTTCAGCATCAAGCCATCCACGACTGTACAAGTTCCATGTTGGCAGCATGTTACCACAGTTCCCAGAAGGAAGCAGCCTTTTGGGAACTGTGGTAAGAAGGTATTAAGCAATCTGGCCATCGCTTAATATCTTCATTTAACCTGTGCAGCTTGAGAAAATAATTTTAGTGCAAGAGTAATTCTTAAACCTGTATTTTACTGTTAAATCAACTTCTCTAAGTAATGACTTTTGTTAAAGTGCAATAATTTTAAAAACAGTAATCGCATTAAAATTGCTAACTGAGTTTCTAGAGGCAGGACACGACAGCTACTGGGCAACAAAAAGCTAAATTAGAGAGTTTTACTGTAAACAGCTTTTGTTATTGTCAGTATTTTCAGTGTTTCTCCATCAAAAATGAAAAAACAAAAAAACAAAACACAGACACCCATCGTAAACTTTATGCCAGCAGCAAAATGCTTTCAGCCTCCGATGGCAGCAAAGCAGCAAAAATGTGAAGCTATGCTGAAAAACATTGATAATATAACATTATTACTTTATGAACCTCAAGTCATTTCTTCTTCTCTTCCTCTGTCAACCAGCTGAGGCAGTATGCTACGACTCTCTGAGCCTGGCTCTGCTGGAGGTCTCTTCTTGTTAAAGATGGAGTTCTTCCTCCCCACTCTCACAGCAGAGGTCATTGATCGCTGGGGTTCTCCCTCTAATATTATACAGGCTGTTGTTGTAAACAAAAAACAACTTATTACCTTCTTTAACATGTTACCTAAGGCCACTTATAACTGGGTTTATAGTGCAACCTTTCGATGCTTGTTCCACCTACACACTGCTGCAGACCTGCACTCTCCAACAGCAGCAGCCTCCTCCACCACAACAGCATCTTCTTCTATAGCACTTAGAAAAAAACTGCTCAGGAAAGATAAGCCAAGCTTATGGCCTGGTCTTCAAACTCCCGAATTCCTCCTCCAGGCCTCAGCGCAGGACATGAAATAGTCAGGAAAAAACAGTCATGGGCAGGAAGTATATGTCCATGTCTGCAGCATATGTTGTGTCCAGGCTCTTCAAAGGCAACGCATCACCCTAGCAACCAAGAAACAACTTGGCAACTATATTTTAACCCAAATTGCGACATATATAAGTAGCCAAGTAGCTTCTTATGATTGGAAATGCTTTTAAAAAAACACAACCGAAGTGAGGAAATCTAAATGACTTCCATCAGTTTCAGAATGTGGACTTTTTCACCCTTTAAAAGGAGAAAATACTGATTTTGAGCACATTGACAGAAAAGCAGCACACGTGCCAAGAGAAACTAAATAATAGAATAACAGTTGTGACTATTTTAGAAACTGCTGTGAGACTGAGGTGGATTCTAATATGATGTTACTTTGGATCAAGCTCTGAGGCCTCAGCCATCAGGACCCACAGGATCTGCTGCCAACGTCCTGATGCCAGCCACCACAGGACAGAGGGTCAGAGCTGCTTTGGCAGCAACAAGGGGAGAAGGGGTCTGCATGTTATTAGTCCGGTGGATTGGTCTACGCCACAAGAACAAGAATATTGTTACTAATGACCTGATTTCTGATATTTTGACATGTCTAGCCAGGGTGGTAGTCCAGGGAAGGAAAATGAGCCTCAAACAAAAAACATACATTTTATGCAGACAAATGCAAAGTGACTATCAACAGAACAGGATTGAGTTAATATCAACTGAGACACAGTATCAGCAGGAAAACAAGCACAGAGTGAATTCTGCTGAATCGTGTTACCAGCACAAAAACGGCGTTACTCCAGAGGAGGACCACAGAGTGGAGACTGGCAGGAGCCTCAGGTAACCGACTTAAATGAGCAACACAGAAGAAAATGTTTTTTTAAAGGAGGCTGGGATCCAATGTACTCACTGTCTATTGGATCAAACTATTTATACTATGCTATTTCATAAGGAAAAATCACTGCAGTTGGAAACTGTGAGTCAGATTTACACCTGAACAGATTTTAATGGCAAATATCTTCATAAAAAGAAAGAAAGAAGAAAGAAATCTTCATAAATTCTACATTTTAAGGCTTTAAAATGAAAGTGGTCAAGGAATTACCGGTTTCATTAACTGCTTGAGATTACAGCCGTCAGATTTATAGCCCTAAAGGACTTCAGTGGACACTAAATTCCCATTCACATTATATTTTATAACAGAAAAAGAAAACAGGCTGTAGAAGTTGCCAAATCATGTCTCTCTTCTTCTCTTTTACATTGTGCAGGGTACAATCCAATAACTAAAGTGCCGACTGCCCTAAAAAGCTTTATTATGTGGTGTCGCCTAATGGTTTTTGTCCGTTGTGGTTGTGTTGCTGCATATTTGTTTGCTGCTTGTGCAGAATTATTAATGTTTCTCGGACCACCCGATTAAATGACTTATAAATAATTAATTACACCACTCCATTTGAGTTAATTATACCCCGGCAGAGCCTGCTTTTCACTGCATTTCTTTTGCATTTCAGCGCCTTTCTGGAAAAACCTCCAGCACATCCCAGTTTGCCCAGTTTATAACCCCTACAGCACATTTCTAAAGCACGACTGAAAGGAAATGAACCATTTCTGGACTTCGTGCTTGCTTTTGCACCATCTCAGATTTATAAATGTTTCTGGACACACATCTTAACCTGGCTGCCTTATGAAATTAAGTTAATGAATGAATAAATGAATGAATGAATTAGAAGGGGCTGTGTCACGACCTGAGGTTATTCAAGTGTGAGGAGCTGTTAGTTTATAATTTATTTTTATCATCATTACAGTTCATTTCAGTTTTATATGCGAGTATAATTTCTGTTTAGGGGAAGTTTCAACCTTTATTTAAAAACTTTTATATGTATTAAAGAGTGGGCTGGTTAAGGGGAGGGGGAGGTTTAGCTTCACCTGTAATCCAGGGAAAAGTGAAGTGAATATAACAGCAGGGGTTTTTATTACGACCCGGCTAAATGATTTCGAGAGCAAACCAAGCAGGAGATATTTCCCCCGCTGTCACGGGTGTGGGGGGGTGTAGGTGATCGCGATTATAACAGCAATAATAATGATAATAATGATGATGACGATGGCCTCCTGTCGTTGCTTCATTTGCTGCCTTTATGTGCTGCAGTGTGGCTCGTTTATTAGCCTTATCTGTGTCCTGTGGTGACGTGAGGCCTGCAGGCGCTCACAGCCTGCAACATTTTCTTCAACACCTTCCAGTTTCTTCCATCCGAGCGGCTGCTTTCCTCTCCTTATCATGTCAGCGCACAAAACAGCCGCCGGGAGCTTCCTCAGTCAGCTTCCACCATCTGAGATGCGCCTTTCCCCCTTATCTCTCTCTCCCTCTGTGTGTCTGTCTTTCTCTTATGCTGATTATTATTGTCTTAATTAATCTCTGATATGCCCTGTTATGTAACTATCCACCCCCACTGCCCTCCTCCCCCCCTTCCATATAAAACACATGATTACATTTAACAAGCCGATCATCAGCATCGCCGCAAGGAGCCGCGCAGGAAGGAGAGGCTCTTACCTTGTGCAGCAGATCAGCGATCACTCTCCGGCTCATTTTAAGCCGTTTCGTTCCCATGAAAAATCTCCGCTGAGGCTGCTGGTCTCTGATTACCGGGACGCTGTTGCGAAGACCGAGTGAAGAGGAGCCACTAATTCCCCCTTTCCTCCATCCCCTATCCGTTTAAAAACCATCGGCCGTCAGCCTCCACCCCTCTCAGCTGGGAGAGAGACATAGGGAGAGAGAGGGAGAGAGCGAGAGAGGAAGAGGAAGGTTGAGCAAAAAGAGAGAAAGAGTAAGCAGAGAGAGAGGGAGGAGAAGGAGGGGGACTGGAAATATGGGAGGTGATACAACACAGTGCGGATACACAGTGCATGGAAACATCAGGAGAAATAAGCAATATATCAGTAAAACAATGCAAAGTAAATGCAGAAGCCTTTCTGACATCATTGTTAGACTCGTGAACGAGGTCGCTTTAAATTTCTCAGCAGTTCGTTTGCCAATAATTCAATAAACTTGAAAAAATAAAAGAGGCATCATTACAGGAGCTGCAGTATTTTGGTCAAATAAAAAGGACGTCATTATAGGACATAAGCTATACCATACATACACTTGACCACTTTATTAGCTGGACCTTGCTGGTACCGGGTTGGATTCCCTTTTGTCTCCAGAATTGCTTAAATTCTTCTCAGCTTACATTCAACGAGACGCTGGAAGAAGAGAGATTTTGGTCCATGTTGACATGATAGCATCACGCAGTTACTGCACAACAATGATATCAATCTTATGTTCCACCACATCCCAAAGACGGTCTATTGGATTGAGACCTGATGACTGTGGAGGTCGTTTGAGTGCAGCGAATTCACTGTCATGTTGAAGGAACCAGTTTAAGGTGACATGGCACGTTATCCTGCTGAAAGCAGCAATCAGAAGATGCTACACTGAAGCCACAAAGGGATGAACAGGGTCAGCAACAATATTTAGGTGGGGCAAGGAGCGCCAGTAAAATATCCCAACACCATTATATCGCCAACAGCCTGAAACACTGATACAAGGCCAGATGGATCCATGTTCTCATGTTGGTTATGCCAATTCTGGCATTACATACTAGCTGCTTACATAGATACTTACCCTACATGTGAATATCACAGCAGAAATCAAGACTCATCAGACCAGGCAACTTTTTTCCAGTCTTCTATCGTCGAATGCTGGAAACCCGTGTGAATTGCTGGGCTATATCATAAATAAATGCTCAGTTTGAGGCAACAAGGACTAACAATCCTCTATATATTAAATGAACATATAGTAAGAGGAAAAATGTAAATATATTTTGCTAGCATGTTGATTTTGTTATTTTTACACTCAGGATGTATGCCTCGGTGCTCTCCATGGTGCTGAACCTGGATCCTCCGGGTCTCCACTCGCATTGCTGGAAAAATCCAGGCAATAACTCACCATTGCTGGCAGGATTGAGCTGACTTGCTGAAGTAGCATCCAGTAGTTTAAGGTGCTTGCCCTCATTCCACTCATCCTGGACATCAATATCGTGGTAATTTTGGGCTGTTAATGATTTCTGCAGCATAAAAAGGATTTGTTTGACATCACTGGACTGACAAATACTCAGATTAATGAGAAAGTCCAAGGAACTCTGAAGATCTAAGAAGCATAATTGAAGTTATAATTATATAAATTTACCTGTATATACCTATATATTTGACATGTCACCATATTGCCAAGGTCTGGAAAAAGACCAAAACTGTCACTGTCCACTGTGATGGACTGAGAGGCCAAGCCAAATGCCTTCTGCAGAAAAGTTTTATGGTCAGATGAGACAAAGACTGAGCTATTTGGTCACAGTGACAAGAGGTATGTTTGGAGGAGAGGTGAGGCTTTCAAACATAAGAACACTGTACAAACTGTCAAGCATGGTGGTGTAAACTTCTGAACACAGCTGTGTAAGAACATTAAAAATGTTATTCGCTCTTTTATAAATACAATATTTTATTTAACTTTATTCCTACAAATCTTCACCACAGAATGGTCAATAAAACAGGAACAAAGTTGTGGATGCACTTAACAGTTTTAATTTTACCATAAATAATAAAAATGACACATTAGTCTTTCACAATACAAACAAACTGAAGTCGACAATATATAACCAGAGCTTCCTGGAAGCTAACAGAAACAGATAAGAAACCAAATAAAACACTATAAACAAACACAATGTTGTAAAAACAAAGTTACAAGTAGTGCTCCAGGAAATAATGTAGCATCGCTCCTGCATAATCAATAAAATAAGCATGTTTGCATTTCTTAGTAAGGATAACTGAAGTGAGGCGACACTGAGGTGAAACTTGGAGATGTCAAACTTTCAAGGTGCTCTGACTTTATAAAGTACAGCAGTGTTAAAAGAGGTGGAAAAATAACAACTGAGGTTGTTAACAAATATTTCTGAATTCTAGACAGCTTCACATCTGCTGCATTAACTACAAATATTCATTAGTGTGCAATAAAACAAACTCCTTCAACCCACACTGTGAATGGCAATATGGATACAGCCCCAGCTTCCTTATAGCTTTAAAAACTTGCAGCTTAATGAAAATATACTCTGTCTAGATTACACCTGAAGCAAGTTAGTCTTAAAATATACACATCTGACTTCAGTTTAATCACAATATACAATATCCACTATAAGGGCATGTGTTCAAATGATGGCTCTGGAAATGTGGTGGGTCATGAACCCTGACACAGGTCAGACCAAAGCTACAGTCAGACTGATAAATCAGGAAATGAATTAATGCATAAACATACATAATGGTACGGTTAGAGCTGGCCTTTAAAGTCGATCTGTGGTTACATCACAGACGTCTTACTGACTTCTTACAGCTTGTCTGCTTAACCACAGCACTGCTGGTGGCTCGGACACAAAGTCATCATAGATATACACCAACAACCTTCAAACTTAAATCACACACTTAGAGTCGAGATTATCAGATTTTAAATGGGGCTGATTTTCTATAAAACCATGGCATTCCTGACCTTCTTTAACTCCTCTGTACATGGTGGATAAAGTCAGCTAATGATTCAAGAAATCTCTGCATGTCCTCAACTGTTTTTAAACTTGGCGGGTAAATTTCTGTGGACCTGAGTAAGTACAGTGCTGAGTTTCAGCTGAGCTAAAATCACGCAGCAACCTTTAGAGCTGAAAAATGAACCAAAAACATAAAGTGGAAAAAAACTGTAGTTCCTCAAGTGGCCACTTGAGGCTGCCTCCAAAAGGCAAAAAGTCCCCATAGACTCCCATTATAAAATACCCACTTTCACAGCATTAATATGTTTACAGGTTGGCACTAACTGTGGATATTTCCCTCCTTCATATCAACTGTACAGGGCGTGGCTTGACCTTCACTAAGTGTATTCACTGAACTCGACCTCTTAAAGGTCTTTGTGTTGTTCTAGAGGCTTTTGGAGCATTTTTAATAGAATTAAATAATCTCTGCTAATCCAAGACCGCGTCTGGGTTTTAGATTTGGTGAGTGAAATTCTGCTATCTTTTAGGTCGTCCACACAGGAAACAGTTTCCTCACTGTCTATCGCTTTGTAGCTGATGGGTGATAACAAGGCTTCAGATGCTCCCTGTCACAACTAAATCAATGTTATCCCTCGCTCTCATTGAATGTCAGTGACTTTCTACATTCTTATCCTGTGGGGACGCACCTTAATCGAGTGATATATGTGTCCTAGAAATATAACTACAGGTTGCACAGATGCAGACTACTGTAATTGGCGCCTTAACTACCAGCATTTCATCCTACGTTTTTTCCCCAACGTCTTTTTCTGTTGTAAAAGAGAAACTTCATCCCCATACAGTGTTTGGAAGCAAGGCTGCAGAGAACGCGAGGGGCACCGTGCACAAGTAAAACTGTTGGTGGCATAATTGGGAAAGTGGTGACAGGCTGTCCTCACATGGATGCAGCTGTCGCTGAGGAAGCACTGACAGGTCTGTGCTGGAGTGCAGATAGGTGATCACACTATATGCATAATGTGCCCGAGTGCAATGATGGCTCACTTACTTGCACCTTGGCACAGCACGCAGCAAACAAACTGGACTCACCCTCACCTGGTGTGAGTACAACAGGTGTACTTGTGACTTCATTGGCTGATGTTTCCTAAAACTGTAAGTCTAACAGACAATGCGGCAAGCCATGTGGATTAAATATGAAGCGATCAGCGGTTTACATCAGAAGCAGCCGTACTTTCAAATTGATCCATGTTAGGAAACAATGCTTTTTTTCCTTCGGAATCCACCTGCTCGCATGCTACATGTGCACAGCTGATCGTGAAGCACTACTGTTTCTATTTTTCTATGTTTAATACATAATTGTACATATTGGTCTCAGAGTTCCTGCATGACTTAAATGTGCTCCTTTTTAAAGGTAGGTTGATTACTTTAGTCATTTAAAGTGAAGTGAATCTTTCCATCAGAAAATTTATATCCATCCATCCGCATGTGTCTAACAGAGTAGATATGCTTCAGCTACACAGGTTGCCTTTCACCCATGCCATTTGTGCATGATGTGCATTTCCTTCATCATTTGTTAATAACTCTGAGTATACATGCAATAAACAATAGGTATGATGTATGTGGCCAAAACATTTCCTGCTTTGACATTTAATTAAATACATTAACTCCAAAAATGACCAAAGTGCAGGTTGGTGCTACGATGGTCAGTGCTGCCACCTGAGAGCAACCTCACGGGGCCTTTTGTGTGACATCTTCATAGGTGTTCCAGTTTCCTGCCACAGTTCAAAGACAAGCTTGTTAACTTAGCTGGTGATTCTAAATTTGCTGTAAGTGTAAATGTGAGCATAAGTCTCTGTTTTATCCCTCTGATCCACTGACTGCCTGTCCAAGGGTACCCCGTCTCTCACTCAATGTTAATGCTGAGACCCTCGGGTGGGTTTCTCAGAGTAAAGCTACTACTCTACATCAAAAGGAGCCAGCTGAGATGGTTCCAGCATTTCACTAGCGCCTCCCAGGTGAGGTGTTTGGGCATGTCCAACAGGCTGGAGGCCCCGGGTCAGACCCAGGACAAATGGAAGAGATTATGTCTCTCGGGTAGCTTGGAAAAATCTGTGTCCCCCCAGGAAGCGCTGGAGGAGGTGGCTGGGAGAGAGGTAGGTCTGGGGATGTCTGCTTAGACTGCTAGAAACAGCCTAATTTAATTTGTGGATAGTAACCTATTA